CCAAAATGGCCGGCACTAGTATACGCTTCGCGCCGGAACGTGTGGCTTCGTTTTGGTGTTTCTTATTCAAGTTTTCTTTTGAAATGGAAGAAGACGGTAACGAAGAGATTGGTGACCGGTCCGTTCCCAGACGAATAAGTGCATGGTCCTAGACTACGTAACGTACCACTACTGCCCAAGTACGAGCGCAAGAAAAAAAAAAAAAACGTTGAATTGCTCTCTGACAACTTCCGCAAGAAGTTTCAAGGAGAAATTCCTGGGACTTCCGAAACAACAGCGTGGCGCTTTTATTTTAAATGTTTTGCTCCTCGGATATCGGATCCCCCCCCCCCCCCCCCCATCCGTGGTCTCTCAGCGACATACTAGGTATAGCGGAAAAGTGATTCCAGTGTGTCGGGATATGTTTTGTGCTGTGCTAGAAGTCAGCCACAGCACCCTCATAATATTGCTGATTCGCAAGCATGAAAGAGGTCAAATCAAGCCTGAAAATCAAGGCGGCGACCACAAAGTAAGAAAGTATGGTCACAACCGCTCAGCCGTTATTTCATTTATAAAGCGCCTTCGCGCTATAAGAGGTGCATTACTCTCGACAGAAGACAAAGAAGCCTTACCTGTCATCCGAGCTAGAAAGCATAAGGAATATTTGGCGCGTGTACAATGCTCAAGTTCCGAATAATGCGCAAGTGAAGTACGGCTTTTTTTTCATGGCATTTTTCGCACAAAGTTCAACCTTTCTATTGGAACGCCACGGACAGACGTGTGTTCAGTATGTCTGAGAAATGCAAACTACCGGAAAACGGTCTTCTACCCTGTACAGAAGCAAAAAGTAATCACGGAGCCACGTGTGTGTGCACAATTTGAAATCGAAGGCGCTCTCTTGAGGGAAAGACGAGCAAACCTGATGACCCTTTCCTTTGATTCCCAGCAAAACCGAGCGATGCCTAAAATTTCTCATCCAGCAGGCATACTACAGCCGCCAACTCTACCAATACCACCTCTGCATAGTACGAAATCAAGAAGATGGGTTAATGCTCAAACATGGTGTTCACTTTTTTACTTGGAGTGAGGACGAGAGTGTCAAAGGAAGCAATGAGGTGGCCACTGCTCTGCACAGCACACTCCGAAGCCTCAGCTACGAGGGAGTTCAGGAAGTTCGTTTGGTAGCCGATGGCTGCGCTGGCCAGAACGAAAATTCCACCATGTTAGGGATACTTCTCTGGTGGCTCAAAAATGAAGCTCCTGCTCAGGTGTCGAAAACCACTCTATAGTATTCCCTGTCACTGGTCACAGCTTCTTGCCGCCTGACTGAGTCTTCGGCAGGATTGAGAAAGACACAAGGAAGCATGAAGAAATACTGAACCCAAATGCCTACAGGAACACTTTTGCGGAACATGGCACAGTCTTGGAGCTCGGAAAGCACTGGCATGTCTGCGACTGGAATGCCTATATGTAACGCAAGTATTGAAGCCCACATCGAGCCTGCCTTTTAAGATTATCACGGTTAAAGTTTTTATATGCAGCCTAACGTCAACAGACGAAGCCCAGAAGTTCGAGCGGAGCCACATTATAGGTTCTCCTTGTCAAATCTTGTTCGAGTGCTGAAAAAAAGGGAAGGCTCTGTCAGGTGCCCCAGAGAGGTGTGGTCTGCACAAGGCCAACTTGAACCCCCTCAAGGTGAAAGACGTTATGGATATCCTCGTTAAATACTTCGAAAAGTCGTGGCAGCAGCATGAAGAGCTCAAGTATCTTTCCAATGTTTTCAGCAGATTCCAAGATCAAGAAAGGGGAGTCGACGAACAGGAAGAGTGCGCGTGTTGCCAAGAAGACACTCCTCCTGTCTACATCTAGATCTGGTCTCGGCACCCAGTGGCCTCTCTTCTAGTGCAACAAAGGATTGCAGCTAGAAAATGACAATTTTGCCTTTTCTGTGTTGCAGAGACCTGCATCAATAAAAGCTTTTTTTTTCTTCAAAATGGGCCAAATATTACGTGACGAATCTATTTGTGCCTGATCCAAACTTCAACGATTCATATCTGCTAAAATAATGACGTCACATTTTATATCAGTGCTCCCATAAGATCCTTTGGTGACATGCGTACCATGACAAAAAAAAATTTATTCAGCAGGTGCCACCGTTCTGTCAGTAGGAAAAAAGGAGGTTTTACTGAGTTTTACTTTAAGTGGAATTGGCTCTTTTAGAAAAAAAAACTCTCTCTCTTTCTTTCACACACACACACACACACACACACACACACACACACACACACACACACACACACACACACACACACACACACACATATATATATATATATATATATATATATATATATATATATATATATATATATATATATATATATATATATATATATATATATACACTCTGACGAAGGCCGTGCCACGGCCGAAACGTTAGTAAATACGATCCTTTTCTTATGTGCTATCTGCAAGTTAATTCAATATAGAAAATACCCGGACCTGTCGTGCCTTCCCTTCAAGTTCTATATATATATATATATATATATATATATATATATATATATATATATATATAATATATATATATATATATATATATATATATATATATATATATATATATATATATATATATATATATATATATATATATATATATATATATATATATATATATATATATATATATCGTCAGCGTACCGCACTGAGCCGCAGAAGAAACCATCGAAGGGAATTTTGCTGAAAATGTAGCTGATAGCGAAAATTCTTATCGCAGAACATCAAACAAATTCACGTATGCCGCCGTATGAATAAATCTGACACGTCATGTGGAAATACATTCTAACGTGTCGTGTCTACGCGATTTCGGTTTCGCACATGGATTAATGGTCGCTTCTCTGGTAGCGACAATTGTCCACACAGCTTTGCTGATGTTGCCTCCCCGTTCGCAGACCGTTGCTTGAACCTTACGACAACAATGCATGCGTACGGCTACATCTCTCTATTTATACTCCCGCTTCCCCTTTCTTGAGTAGCAAACCGCGCATTGCGACGTGGTCAAGGCAATGATTCCTGGAAGAGTTGTGCCTATTCCTGCTTCAAAAGAACCGCTCCCCTCACTCTGATCGACGAGACAACGGCGACGACTGTGGGCCACAACCTTCGATCAGTCCAGGCGGCGCAGAAACGCGTCATAGCATTACCAACTGTCACAGCATATAAACATTCTCAGCCTTAGAACGCTGCATCGGGCAGTTCTGTCAGCGCTTGCCGGAGCACTTGTCTCTTGCGGCAAATCCGCCGACCACTAAAATGTCTCGTACGGTTTAGCCGGAGAAAGCCACATTGCTTCAAACGTGTAATCAATTGTGCGACATCCTCGCGCTACTTTCACTGGGCACCGAGACGTTTGTCACAAATCCCGATCTGTTGCAACGAACGGAACACTAGCGCGCTGATGACGATTAAGTCCAGGGTCTTAAAATGCATTCGATCTGTTCTTCACAGTATATGTATATTGGGTATTGTTGGGCGTAGACGTTTGTATTGATTAGAATAAAGTGAGTTGTAGAGAATTCATTCTATGTGCATGCATAGGTGTGCGCCTGAGGGGGGCAGAAAAGTTGCCCCATCCCCCTTGGCTGCCAATGGGAGAGGGGGAGTGCTAAGTCCGCTCGTACAAGAAGCGGGGGCGCTGCGGTGAACCTTGGCAGCTCTCCTCCTCTCCCTCTGCCTTGAAAGAAAACCCTGCGCACGCCTACGTATGCATGGTTTCTGCGCAACCACAACAAAACTTGCACGAAGCGCGGTCCATCATGCCGATGCGAAACCGCCGAAACTGGACACCCAAACCGAGCGAGTCACCCAAGGCAGTAAAGCCACTTGCAACGCGAGCGGTCATTGACCTTGCGTATAGAAATTTCACAAAAGTGTATGTTCTTATTTTTGTCTTCCGTTACCATGTTACCTATATGTTTTTCACCTACGATTTTAAACGTACCCGTATCTTTATTACATATTCATTTTTATAACAGAATAATTGATCGCGTTATCTTGAATGGAATAAGCTATATATACATATATTTTGTCAAAAGCAAGTTCGTTTTAAAATAACTTTGTGAGCCTAGCGGGGAATGGTTGCTCAGTGTTTCAACAGCCATATTTTATATTAATACGTCGCTTTTAGCAGAAATGTGTAAAAGACGAGATTTTTGTAAGTTTCTTTCGCCTCATTGCATTTATGTTGCGAGGCGAAGACACCTTTTTCGAGCACTGCTACGATTGGTCGCACTTGCATTTTTGAATGGCGATATTCTTGCTGTATAGCCCGTGCGGACTTGGAAAAAACACGCCCGCAATTGTGGTGGTGAAGTAATTCATGAATACGTTCCTTCAATTGCTTGAACTCGTTTTCTCGGTGGCCGAAATGCCGAGCTCGGCGCTCTTTTCCCAGCTCCGATATGCTCGCGCATCCATCCATCCCGAATGGATGCTGGGTGATTCGGCGGCGCAAGGAAAGGATAAGCAGTCGTAATAAGTAGGCGAGCTAACAACCTCTGGGATTTGGGGGAAGGCTTGTCGAAAACACCAGCGAGTGCCTTGTGAATAAAGCATAAAAGAAGTGCTGGGCAGGGGTGCACGGCGGGGGAGTAGTGGTGGTAGCCAGAGTTCTTCGATAGTCAGAGTTCAAAAACTTCTTGTAATCTTTACATGTCAAACACAAACAAATGTTGTTTACAATTTAAAAACTTACGCATAGCTGCGTAAACTGTAGCCAAAAATGTAAACTAGTTACTAACAATTGGTAAAAATATTATGCATATTTTGTTTTATATTACAAATTACAGATGACGCGACAATCGGCAAGTTTTCAAAAAATTGATTTTGAGCAAGGTTGAATTTTGGAGCGCAGTGTCGTGACTGTTGCGATCAAAGAACTTTGGTGGTAAGTGTGCCGCGTGCTGCCGCCTAGTGCGGCTGAGGCGAAGCGACGATGACTGCCGCTGGCTGCGGGGGGAAATATCAGCTGCGGGGCTGCGAGCGTCATTCGTGTGCATCGCAGCTTGGTGTGCATGTGCGCCGTCGCGTCATGTGGCCCTCGGAACTGGACAGCGACTCGCGCTGAGCCGTCCCGTCGAGCGTCCCAGTGTGTGTACGCGACCAGCGACTGCCCATAAAGGTTCGGACGACTGGCTCCGTAGCCCAGGGGGGGGCTAGGCCTAGGCGTCAAACATGGCGGACCTCGAAGCCGTGCTGGCCGATGTCAGCTATCTCATGGCCATGGAGAAAAGCAAGTCCACGCCGGCCGCCCGCGCGAGCAAGAAAATTGTGCTTCCGGATCCGAGGTAAGGGCTCACTGTCTGCGTCTATCGCGTTCACGACGAGCACGTTAACACGCAGGGAGTCTGTGCGTGCGTGTGATATATCCCGGTGCGACTTGCTCTAGAAACTAACGTGTGCTGCTCGCCGGGCTGGTTTCGTTTCTCGGTTTTGTTCCCCTGTACACGTTGTGTGCGCGTTGCAAGTGGAAACACGAACTGCGAGCGAACCTGCGTTCTCGTTCGCTTGATCTGTGCGCATGGAGCGTGCGGAGCAGCGGGAAATGTTTATTTCTCTGGCGACGCAGCGCATGCACGGCTGGCAGGCAGCTGGCCTGGCCGCATCTTTGCGCATTGTGCGCAAGCCCATTGTAAACATCGTAGTGCACCGTAAGCGCACTGCATTGTTTTTCTCTCGGAAGCGAAACGGAAAGAATTAAAAAAGAAACAAAAAAGTCGGACAGTTTCATTTTTTTTCTGCCCCTCCTCCGCACTGTTTCCTTCCCGTGCCACCGGCGGCGTTGACTTTTAAGTGCTTTCCGACTTCTTTTTAATTTTTTTTCCCACATAGAAAAAAAAAATATTTGTCGCCGTGGCCACTTTGACGACGTCCGTGCCAGCGTTCAGCGGCGTGACAAAACTCGCCCCAATCGCCCTGCAAACTTGCGCCTGAATAGTCCTTTTATAAAGAATCCGATCGAGCGCGGTTTCGGAAGGCACGCTTTTGACTGCTCGTTTAATCTTGACGGCTGATGCGGGAAGCACCGAGGCGCGGTGACTCGAGTTTCGGTTTTGTTCGTCCCATGCTGCGCGTCGCATCTCCCATCTTTTTCACCGGTCCGAGCTGCTGTACTCCCTTTCTCCGTCAACTTTCTTCATCCCCTAGCGTGTCATCCTTGGCCGCTCGCTCCCCCTCTCAACGTAACGCCCTAATCGTTTGCCGGGATATAGCCGGGAGGTCACGGCGGAAAAGGGCGAAGTGCAAGCGCAGCTTCTGTTTTCGGCCCGAATCAACAACGCGTCCCTCTTCAACGGGGCAGCATTTTTCGTACGCGCCAGCCAGTGCGTACGGTCTCCGTTGCTAGCCTCCACCTCCGCGTTCTCCGGACCGTTTTGTCTCCCTTTTTTTTTTTTTCTTTCCCGTAGAGAACCCCGCGCGGCCTTTTCGTTGTCTGTCGGCTGCCGCGTTTATTATTGCCATTTTTTTTCTTCCATCGCTATGTATTTGCTTCCCGTTCCGCTCCCTGATGCGCTAGCGTGAGCTCTCTCTTGCCCGGTAACAATAACAAACGGCCGGATAATCGACAGCCCCTTCTCCGGACTACCGGCTGCTGTCACTCTCTCCCCTCTTCTTTCCTATATCTTTTTTTCTTTTCTTTTCCGCCGGCGTAGCGCTAATGACTGGGGTCCCGGCGGTGGCTGATGTGGACATGGGACGGCTCCTACTACCGCTGTTTTCTCCTAACGTGTACTTTGGGACCTCATAATCGGCTTCATTCTTTCTCGGGGCCGAAGGTGAAAGTGGCACGCGAGCTCGACCGACGTGAATCGTGTCGTGCTCTCTCGTCGCCGACCTTCCTACGAACTGGCGTGCGAGGGAAAAAAGACAAGAAAAGTCGTGAGCTATGCATAGTATGAATGAGAAAGGGAAAGCGCGTCCTTAGGAGTGCAGGATGTCACATTTCGATCGCGCAAACGCCGCTGGCTTTTTTTTTTTTCTTTCGTGGTCTTCGGCAGACATCCCAGCGTTCCTGAAAAAGGAAGGTGCAGCGCGCGATGTGTGGCACGTATCGAACGGAAGCGTTCGTTTACAGCGCGGCCGAAACGACGTGTAATTGATGGTGCCGCTCTGACGAACCCTGCAATGCGATAGCCCTGCATACGTGTGTGCGTAGTACCGTTCTGTATGGAGGAGGAGGAATAAATGAGGAAGGACAAGAAGGTTAGCCAGTTCTCAGACCGGCTGGCTACCCTGTACTGGGAAGGGGGTAAGGGGGGGGGGGGGGCGTGCTGAAAAAGCTCGCGGGTCTTATACGACCGATAACGTTTCTCTTCAGTTGACGTCGTCGTGGCACTTGCGGAGCCGTTTGGGAGACGTACACCTATTGCAGATGTTCGCACCGTTAGAGATGTTAAAAAAGAAGAAACAAACGATCACGACTGGTCTCGTAAGACATGACACTAATGTCCTGTCATAACTATACGTTTATTTTTTTATAGGGATTGATTTTACTGTTACTCTATATGCTGACGTTGTGATCGATCAGAATTTGTGGCGTGCTGTGCTCATTTCCACTTTTTTTTCTGCAAGAAGACCAGTATTTCTCAGTAGCTAAAAAAAGAAAAGAAAAAAAAACTTCCCGTATCCCGTCATATGCATACTGCGGTGGCGATGAATTATGAAATGAGGTCTGCAGTACGTAAACCTTTTTCATGGAACGCTCTCCGTGCGTCGCCACCCGTCGCGCTGGTTACTGTACTCGACTGTTGACGCGAAGGTCGCGGAATCCAATCCCCACCGCGGCGGCCGCACTTGCATGGAAACAGAGTGCTAGGAGCTCCTGCTTACATTTCGGTGCATCCCCGTTCTAGTGTACTATACCATTCGGGATGTGAGAACGCATGCCGAATGTGCCCCATCCCATCCGTATTATGCTATTTCACTTCGTGGCTCGGCTTCGTGGTTTCTCGTTAGAAGTAGACATATTCCTTAACAGGTTCTGGTGTCTCGCCACCAATATCGCCCAATCTCCCTCAAGAGAAAGGTGTATAAACAGCTGCATCTTGCCGGTACTTGTATCTGCGGAGCAGGAACATTCAGGTTTGCAAAGAGAGTTCAACTTAAACTGAAGACGCACTGAGCGATTGAAAGGAAAATGATAGGTGTAACCTCGAGAAAACAGAGTGGTTCAGGGATGACAGAAACGAGAAAAAAAAAAGGAAGGCAGGAATAGCGGGTGAGGAAACAAACAGGGGTTATGGACATCATAGTTGAAATCAAGAAGAAGAAATGGGCATTGGCCGGGCACGTAGCGCGTAGGCGGGATAACCGCTGGTCATTAGGTTAATTGACTGGATTCCTAAAGAAGGCTAGCGGGTGAGAAGGGGACTGAAAGTTAGTCGAGCAGATGAAGTTAAGAAATTTGCAGGTATAAAGTGGCCGAAGAAAGCACGGGATATGCTTGATTGGTGGAACTCTGGATATGCTTTTGCCCTTCAGTGGGCGTGGTCAGGCTGATGATGATGAGGATCCCCAAGTTGCCAAAATTTCCGGGAGTGTCCCACAGCAGCGTCTTTCGTAACACTATTGTTTGGCGGTGCAAAACTCCTGCAATTATAGCGTATTCCGTGTTTGGGTGCGGGTGTCATCACCTCTGGGCTGTGGTGAATAGGCGTGACTCGGCAAAAGTGTGCAGCCGATGGAGGCAGCGAGGTCAGCCTTTGCATTTTCGTGTCATAGTCCATAGAAGAGGCGTCTCTATACTCTCTTGTCAAAAGGTGCATATTATATGCACTGTACTTCACGTGATACGCGCTAATGTCATTAATTGAAGTGTTTGTTTCATCGAGCGAGCATGCGTCGAAGTTCACGCTGAACTTCATTAAGAACACTACTGCATGACTGATGATCGATCTTCGCCTCTTTAGCGCAATGGCCCTCGTGTGTAGCCATTTAAAGGGACACTGAAGAGGAACAATGGCTTGGTTAAGATTGACAAACTGCTGCACCCTGAGACCATTTAATGCCATACGTTTTACTATCATAAGTCGATAAGTTCGTCCTCCTCATTTCGTTTTTAAATTTCGCACTGAAATCTCCGCGTGTGACGTCAAACATTTCACAATGTATTTTTCGTATATTCGAGGCGTTGGCTGGGCGAAATTCTCTGAAACTTCGTATGCTAGCTCTATGATAACCACAGATGACAATGCACTTCATTTTCATCAAGTAGAAGCTACGTAGGACCCAGTAGACGCCTTCACAATCTGTGACGTCACGGTGCTTGGTACGAGAATCTCACAGTGCGTGGTGTCTCTACATCCGCCTTTTCTTTTCGCGCGTTTTTTTTCGCTTACCAAGCTCCGTGTCGCGGTAGTGGTGCTTTCGGGATTGTGAAATTGTACTTTATTAATATGCGAAAAATTGTAAAATAGTTTTGCTCATTAGCGTCCCGTTATGGTGAATCTCGTCGATACGATTCTGCATAATCGTACAATAAATGACCGTTTACTAAATGCGGCAAGAAGTGTACTATTATGGGCTCGTTTTTTTCTTTGTTGGGCACAATATTAATTAGATATAACAGTCACGCGAAGGAATCATGCCGCCGTGGCAGCTTAGTTGGTAGAGCATCGGACGCCTTATTCGAAGATCGCAGATTCGGTCCCTGCCCACGGCAAGTTATTTTTTCGTCCTATTCTTTTTTTTTTTACAGCGAAAGCTGTATTGCCAAGGAGAAATGAAAGACCGTTCGGCAGTGGTGTCATGAGCGGTCTTCGTCACTTACGTCGTTCGCGTGCCCATGCAAGCGCGCCGTTGGCTGCGTTGTTAGTTAGCTCGCGATGTCAAACGCTTGAAACAAAGCGGCGTCAAATGTGACGCTTGCCGGAGCGCGTTCGACGGGTCTAACGCCCGCTTTCGGCGGGAGTTTCTTCAGCGGCACTTTGGCTTCGGCGTTTGTGACCACCTGTGGTTCGAAAAGAACCTCTGTGATTAACGCATTGCGAAACGCATTTGACCGCTCATTACAACTCTTCTATGACCGCGATTGTACGAGGTACAATGTGCGACGTGTGAAATAAACACTGTGGTAAACCCAAGCTAAAATGTGCGTCTTAACCTCACTAAGAAGCGCGAACATGTAACCCGTGATTGTGAAAGGCTTCAGTGCAGCGTCGGGTTGAACCCACTGCTAAACACCGGGGCCGAACGCTTCAGCTTTTGCTGCATGGGTATCCACTTGTACGGAGTGCTTGGGCGGTTTTTTTTTCTTTCTTCACATTTACATTACAATTGCTTTTAGTAA